TGTTTTCTTGCCTTCTTATTTTTTATTTTTCTTTACCATTTAAAACTCTCAAATAAATAATATATACAGAAGAGCACGTAACATGAATGTAAAGTTGAATGAATACCATCCCACGTTCCCAGCTTTGGCATAACACACTACCAGTACCCTGGAATCCCCTTGTGTGTCTGTTTCCAATAGTACACCTATCTCTTCCCACCAAAGGTAGCAATTATCCTGAATTCTGTGTTAGCCACTTCTTGTATTTTCTTTACAGTTTTACCACATTATCTATGTATCTTCAAATAGCATATTGTTTAGTTTTAAACTTATATAAATGAAACCATACTATATATATATATTCTGTTGTAAGTTATTTTCTTTCAGTATTATTTTTGAAATTTATCCATGTTGATATGTAAACTATAGGTCATTTATTTTCATATCTGTGTAGTATTCTCTTCATTATACCATAACTTATTTATCTATTCTACTCTTGATAGACATTGAGTTGTTTTCAGTTTTTTGTTATTATAAACAATGCTGCAATAAATATCTTTGTACGTATTTGTGGCTTATACATCCAAGAGTTTCTTTAGGGTATCTAGAAATGTAATTGCTGGGCTGTATAGTATGTACAAGTACAACTTAGCTAAGCATATCCATCAAAGCACGGTTGCAAAGAACAGAATATATCTTAGTTCATTAAAACAGAAAGGGATTTATTGTAGGTTATTGATGATTTACAGAAGTGTTGGGAGGGTTGCAGAAACAGACGATAGACAGAACATCTAGTAATGATTCCCAAAGCCACACCAAAGGACTGGGCCACCAAGAAAGCTACCACTTTTTCCTACAACAGAAAGCTATGTTTTGAATTGGAAAGCTGCCAATACAGTTCTGGCTCCAAAGCCGCACTGCCTCAGACACAATTAGGGGCACTTCAGCTAAATCAGGAAGCCTCTCTTAGACCTTCTGGCTCCAGAACCAAGCCTCTGCTCGGAAACCACCTTTTAAACTTGGGAAGCCACCATTATAATCCCTGCCAGCAAAACAAATACCATCCACCCGGCGTCTCCCCCCACTCAACTAGCCAAGTCTCACTGAGAGAGCACGGATGGGTCAACCTTGAACCCTTGTTAGGGGCGTGTCTTGTAAATGTAGTTTTTCATTTTCTGCCCTTTGAGATATAGGCAGGCATACTAGAAGGAGGTTAGAATAGAATAAAGGTTGAACAAACCAGTTCACGGTATCTGCCACATGAAATAATGCCACATTTCTAATGTGGTTGAACCAATCTATAATCCTGCCAGCAGTGCATGAGAATATTTGTGGTTCTATATCCTTGCCAATGCTCGGTTTTGTTGGGTTGCTGTTTTTGAAAAGCCATTTTATTGTCATTCTAACTTGCAGTTCCATGATTAATGAGGTTGAGTGTGTCTTTGCATATATGTTGGCCATTCATGTTTCCTTTTCACAGATATGCCTGTGTTTTTTGCAGTTTATCCATGTTGATATGTAAACTGTAGGTCATTTATTTTCATATCTGTGTAGTATTCTCTTCTTTATACCATAACTTATTTATCCATTCTACTCCTGAAGTACAAAAAGTGTCTTCTGTACATGTCCTGGCCTTTTTCTTTCTTATCCTTTGGGATTCTCTGCAGATTCTGGATAATATTCTTTGCTGGTTATAAGTTACAAGTATCTTTTCAGATTGAGGCTTATCTTTTTACTTTCTAATGGTGATTTTACTGAGCAGAAGTGCTTTTTTCATTAGTCAATTTTACTAATTTTTTTCGTTACGGTTTGTGTTTTTCTTGCTTGATTTAAAATTATTTTCCTACCCACAGATCATTAGAATATTCTTTTGTATTTTCCCTAAAAGTTTTAAAGTTTTGCTGGTCCTGTTTTAGTCCCCAATCCACCTGGGATTGGTGTTTTGTACGGTACGGGGCAGAAATCTATTTTCATTTTTTTCGTATATGGATAACTCTTCTGATCTACAATACCGGATCTATCATATATCATGTTTTGACTTAAGTATGGGTCAGTTTCTGGGCTCTTTTATTGTTGTGTTGGTCTGTTTTACTTGACTTGTACTAAGAACACATAATCCTAACTACTTGTAATATACCAATCCTGGCAAAATGCTTTTTTTTAGGTGGGGTCTCACTCTGCCACCCACGCTAGAGTGCAGTGGCATCATCATAGCTCACTGCAACCGCAAACTCCTGGGCTCCTGTGATGCTCCTGCGCCAGCCTCCTGAATGAGTAGCTGGGACTACAGGCACATGCCACCATGCCCAGCTAATTTTTCTATTTTTAGTAGAAATGGGGTCTTGCTCTTGCTCAGGCTGGTCTCTAACTCCTGACCTCAAGTGATCCTCCTGCCTCAGCCTCCCAGAGTGCTAGGATCACAGGTCGGAGCCACTGTGCTGGCCCTGGCAGAACATTTTTACTTGCCCAAGCTTTTAGCTGTTGGCTCTTTCTTATACATTTTAGAATTAGTTTGTCAAGTTCTATAAAACATCTTATTGAGATTTTTATTTAGAATTATACTGAATCTATAGAACAATTTAGGGGAGAGTTGATATCTTTAGGATATTTAATCTTCATATCCATGGAACAATTATATCATTCTGTTTATTAAGGTCTTATTTAATATTTTCACCAATTTTTATAACTTTCTCCCAAAAGGTCTTGCACATCTTTTGTTAGACTTATTCTTTGGTACCTCATTTTGTTGTTGGTATTGTAAATGGTATATTTAAAAATTATATTTTCTAATTTCTTTTTTTTTTTCTTTTTGCTGGTATGTAGAAATGTAGTTGACTTGTATGTTGATTTTATGCCCAGGAAACTTACTAAATTCTTTCATTAATTCTAATAATTTATAGGTAATTGGAAATTTTCTGTGTAGAACGTAATAGCTGCACGTAATGACAGGTTTTTAAAAATTCTTTATTTTTTTCCTTATTCTTGCCCAAGTGCACAGATTAGAATTCCAGTGCAGTGCTGAGTAGACCTGGGGGTAGTGTGTAACCTTTTGTTATCCCTGTTTTAAAGAGCATGTGCTAATGTTTGAAGGTACCCTTTATGATGTTAAGAACATTCTTTTCTCTTCCTAGTTTGTAAATGTTTTTTTTTGCTTTTTGTCTCATGAGTGTTGTTTTGAATTTTATCAAATGCCTTCCCGCATCAATTCAGATCACAACATAATTTTTCTACTACTAATGAGATAAATTAATACCTAAATATATGTTCTAATGCTGACCTAACCTTTCATTCTTGGAATAAACTCAACTTGCTCATGATGTTTTTTCACTTTTTTTTTTAAATTGTTGGATTCAGTTTGCTAATATTTTGCTCAGGATTTTTTCATCTATGTTCATGAATGCAGTCAACCTTCAATTTTCCTTTCCAGGACTGACCTTGTTTAGGTTTTTATACTAGGCTTCCATTGCTCATAAAATGAGTCTGCAGAGTGTTCTGTCTTTTTCTGTTCTCTAAAGAGTTTTTTTTGTGTGTGTGTGTGTGTGTGGTGAGAACACTTATGATCTACCCTTTTAGCAAATTTCAGGTATACAAAGCAGTATTGTTAACTGTAGTCATCATACTGTAAGCTTGTGCCCTTTGACCAAGATCTCTCCATTTCCCTCTCCCACCTGCCCGTGGCAAATACCGTTCTACTCTCTGCTTCTCTGAGTTTGACTATTTTAGATTCTGCATGTAAGTGAGATCGTGCGGTATTTGTCTTTCTGTGCCTGATTTATTTCACTTAGCAAAACGTCCTCCAAGTTCATCCATGTTGTTGCAAATGTCAGGACTTCCTTCTTTTTGTTTATTTCTTTATTTTCAATTTTGCAGACACTATGGTGACTTAATTTCCTTCTTTTTAAAGCCTGGATAATATTCCATTGTACATATATAACACATTCTGTTTATCCATTCATCTGCTGATGGACACTTGGGTTGTTTCCATATCTTTGCTACTGTGAATTCTGATTCTGATTCTGAATCTGTCAAGATTCTGATTTCACTTCCTTTGGATATATACCCAGAATTGGGATTTCTGGATCATATGGTGGTCCTATTTTTAATTTTTAAGGGAATTCCATACTGTTTTCCATAATAGCTGTACCAATTTACCTTCCTACCAACAATGTACAAGGGTTCCTTTTCTCTACATCCTGACACTTGTTCTCTCTTGTGTTTTTGATAGTAGCCTAACAATGCGAGGAGGTGATATCTCACTGTGGTTTTGATTTTCATTCCCTGATGATTAGTGATGTTGAGGCCCTTTCATGCCTGTTGGTCATTTGTATGTCTTTGGATTATTGGGTTTTGTAACTAGAGGCAGCCAGTTTAGTGGAGAGACTAGTACTTAGAGTCAGAGACATGTTTGAGTTCTGATCTTTATCTTTTAGCAGTGTAGAATTCTTGGGCTAGTAACTTACATCTCTGGGACTCAGTTTCTTCATAAGGTGAGTGGAGTGGTAATACACACTGTGCCCACCTTGAAGAATTTTGTATTACTGTGAATATCACATGGAATACCTTACTGTATGTAAAAGTGTAGTATAAATCCTATAAAAAGATAACCTCTGCTAAAGCTGGCCTTAGGGAGAATATTGTCTTGTGGATTATTTCCAAAACAGATTCTCTCCCTGATAGTGTAAATCAGATGAAGGGAGCAGAAATGCTTTTGGGGATTACTTCTGCTTTTAAGGCTGGAGTCAGAAGCCCAGACAATGTACTTCCAAAAGAAATGGCATCCATATTTTCTGAAGTCAATTGTTTTCTTTGAGAAAGGGTCTTGCTCTGTCACCCAGGCTGGAGTGCAGTGGTGTGATCACAGCTCACTGTAACCTTGGACACGTGGGTTCAAGTTGTCCTCCCTCTGCGGAGTAGCTGGGACTATAGGTGTGCACTACCACCTGGCTAATTTTTTTTTTTTTTTTTTTTTTGTAGGGACAGGGTCCCGCTATGTTGCTGAGGCTGGTCTTGAACTCCTGGCCTCAAGCAATTCTCCTCCCTTGGCCTCCCAAAGTGCTGGGATTACAGGTGTGAGCCACTGTGCCTGGCCTGAAGTCACATTTGTAGCCTCTGCAGGTCACTGAATCATTGGATGCTAGATGTGAGATCTCACAGATCATCTGGTCAATGGAGAACTTCAGCCATGGTAGTGCTCAACTCACATCTGGAGGATTATTGTCTTCATTTTAAACTGTATGTTAAATTTTGCATGTATGTGTTAATTTACAAAAGCAAATACCTCCTCATGGCAGTGGCACAGGAGATATTGAAGGTGGCGTGAGGGATATAGATGAAAAGTCCAAGCCTTCCTCCTCCTCTAGCCACCTCAGCTGTTTTTCTCCTTAGAGATACAACTTTTAAAATTTTTCTCTCTTTAGTCCTTCTGGTAGCTACTCCCATAATTCAAAATGATATGATTTTACCACTATTCCTTGATTTTTAAGTTTTTAGACAGTCCCTATTACCTCCCCATAACAGCAATGATGAATTCATCTTTTCTTCCTTTCTTCTTCTTTCCTTTCAGTTTGTCACATTTTATTTTTAGTTCCTCTCTTGGTTATCGCTATGGCTTTAAAAAATATTTTTTGAACTTTTATGTCTTGACCTATCGATTAGGGTTTCCCTTGAATTCTCACACTGTAAGATGAGAAAATTGGTTCCTCACATTTCCCTTCACTGTCCCAGCTCTGTCTGTCCCTGGTCTGCTGTCATCGTGCTGGGACATTTCAACATCTAGGTTTACAACATACATTCTGTTCGATAACCATATATGTCCTTTATGTTTTGCCTCTAGGTTGATTCTTAAAAACTGATAGCCAATGTCCAGAGATATAATGAGATTATATAAATATTTATTCAATGAAGAACCATTTACTGTGACTGCCTAACTACAGGAGGAAATGAGATCCTACACTCATAAACCCAGGTATTTGAGGGAGAAGAATACTCTCAAAAACCAGCAGGAAAAGTGATTTCTAGGAGAAGGGAAGAGGGACAGCATATTATAACTATTTACCTTTATTATTATTTAATACATCCATCTTATAACTAAAATTATCTAACTTTTAAATTAAACTGTTTTTTGCAGGGAATCCCTTTTCTTTATGGACACACTTATTTTAGAGTTTGTTGAATTTTTCTAATTCTTCTAGGTTCTCATTTGAACCTATTGCTTTCCAGGCCTGCTGCACAGCTGTCATCGTGGAGTGTCTTTTCATTCTCTGCTGGGTTAAGGCTACTGTGTCTGTCACTTTCTTGCACTCCTTTCTTGTTTTGCTGTGATACCTACTTGAATAATGCTCTCAAAGGTGATCACAATCTGATAAATATCAGAGTCCTTGCTTACACATTGATGTCTAGATTTTGTTCTTATTCTTGATTGATAACCCAGGAAGATAGAAAATTTTATGTTTAAAATAATTTTCTTCAATAAAGGCAATATTGTGTTGTCTTGTGGCATTGAATGTTGCTGATAAAAGATGCCAGTGTGATTCTGGTTCCTTTGTAAGCAACTAATTTTTTCTTCCTGGAAACTTTACATTTGGCATCCTGAAATTTTATGATGGTGGCTCTAGATTGTGTGTGTGTGTGTGTATGTGTGTGTGTGTGTGTGCATTTTGATCTACCCTCATGACTTAGTGATGTCTGGAGACTCATATCTTTCCTTTGTTCTGGAAAAATTTTAACAATTTTCTGTCTTGCATATAGTCTGTTCTCTTTTTGTTGAACATTTATTAGATGGATATTAGGCTTTTTGAATTGATCTTAAGCCTCTGAACTTTTTAAGTGATTTTTTTCCCCTAAATCTTTTCATTTTTAATTTATAATCTGAGAGATCAATGTTTAGCTTCTAGTCCTCTATTGAATTTTTTTTGTAAATTATATTTCCTAGGTTCAAGAATTTTACATTTTTTCTTATTTATTAATTTATTTTTGGTGAGCACCTGTGTTTCTTCTCTTTTCTTTTTAATGAATAAACTATAACTTTTCTCTGAGATACTGATAAGAAAGTTTTGAAGTTCACTTTTATTGCCTGTGTTATCTGTTTCCTTGAAGGTGTTTATTTTTGGTTATTTTTTCTGTCTCTCTTGGGCTGTTACATTTTTCTCTAATTAATTATTATTATTATTTTTTGAGGCGGGGTCTCGCTCTGCCCCCCAGGCTGGAGTGCAGTGGTGTGATCCTAGCTCACTGCAGCCGTGGACTCCTGGGCTCAAGCAACCCTCCTGCCTTGGCCTCTCAAAATGCTGGGATTACGGACATGAGCCAGCATGCCCAGCCTAGTTAATTAATAATTAATTGAATAAAAATAGTATCTATTTAGTTCTTACTCTGAGCCAGAGACTGAGCAAGGGAGACTAGGTCCCTACCCTCCCAGATCTTGCACAGTGATCATGTAAATAAGTGGAGAAACAGGAATTTCAGTTTGTAGTAAGTGTCATGGAGGAAATAAGCAGAGAGATGCTAGTGAGTGACAGGAGGCCTCTTTCAGAATGGGACAGGGGAGCTGGCGCCTGGAAGATGAGGAGCAGCCAGCAAGTTGAGCACAGTTGGGGCGCAGTTAGAGGGGAGGAAGGGTCAGGCTGTGTGGCACCTTTAGGTGGGCCCTGGAGTGAGGACTTTGGCTTTGATGTAACTGCAGCAGGAAGCCATTGGAGCCCATTAAGGGGGTGTGATGATCTGATTTACGTCTTTAATAATCTACTGTAGCTGCTGAGCGGAGCATGATCAGAGGTGGGCAAGAATGGCAACGGATAAGCCACGAGGAGTCTGTCGCAGCTGTTTAAGCCAGCGGAAGGGTGAGGCGGCTGGTTAAGCAGGGGAATGGTACGGGATGGTGGCCGGGGAACGAGGCATCAGAGAAGCGGGACAGACTGTTCCGAGGAGACAGTGGTTCCATACGTCAGCTGCTGCTGAGAGGTCCCGGAAGGTTAGGACGCAGCAGTGAGCATCCCATCTGGCAAATGAAGCTCACTGGTCACTTGGCCATCTCAGGACTCAGGACAGGGATAACGGAGAACCTCGGATGGAGGGAGGCGTCGCCCGGGGTCTCCACAGAGCAACGGCGCAGTAAGTTACTGAGGCGGTGGGCTCATCACCTTCCCGTGATAGCTTGGAACAGTAAATTCCATGAACATTTGCTCCCAGCCCCAAGCACTTTGAAGTACTGTCCGTGTTTCTTCCACAGTCCTCTCCTTTTCTGTACATTTCCCCATTCTTATGATTCCATTAGAAAACATCCTCAGTGAGAAAAAACCTGGTTTTTAAGACCTCTCTTTACTTCCATGTTATCTCTGATTACCTGCAACCAAACAGAGCTTTTGAATCCCACTCTGCTAATGGGGTGTGTGTGGGGATCAGCACCACACTGCTGGTGCTGAAGGCAGGGCAGGGCAAGGCTGGGAAAGTATTGAAAAATGAGTGAAGTCATTCAAACTATGATGTTCTGTTTGGTGGCACTCAGTATTTGAAATCAAGAAATTAAACCAAGGCCAGGTGCAGTGGCTCATAGTTGTAGTCCCTGAACTTTGGGAGTATAAGGCGGTATGATCGCTTGAGGGTTAGGGTTAGTGAGACCCTGTTTCTGCATGAAATTAAAGAAAAATTTAGCAGGGCATAGTGGCATGCACCTGAGGTCCTAAGTAGCTGACTTCCTAAGTACCTGGGAGACTGAGGGGGGACAATCTCTTGAGCCCAGGAATTTAAGGCTGCTATGAGCTATGATCATGTCCCTGCACTCCAGTCTGGGTGAGAGAGCAAGATCCTGTCTCAAAAAAAAAAAACAAAAACGAAAGAAATTAAACCATGATTTTTCTTTAAAACTGAAAAGTAATAAGCATGAGTTTATTTCCAAGGCACCTAACAATTGCATATTTACTTCTCTTAAATTCCAAACTCTTTGAAGGCAGGGATCAGATCCAGTTGGTGAAGCGGTATGGAGAGGTGTCAAAGAGGCTAATGTGTGCCCGGCACTCTACAGGCATTCTCTCATTCAGTTCTCATGGCTTATTAAAATAAACCTAAGATGATTTTGATTCTTATTTTACAGCTAAGGAAATTGAAGCCTGGAGAGTGACTGGCTGTGGTTCTACCGCTAGCGAGAGACATACAGTCATCCCTTGGTATCCGAGGGGAGTTGGTTTCAGGATCCTCTCAGATACCCAAGTCCATGGATCCTCAGGTCCCTGATAGAAAATGGCATAGTATTTGCGTACAACCTACGCACTTCCTCCCATAAATCATCTCTAGATTACTGATAACACCTAGTACAATGTACATGCTATGCAAATAGTTGTTATATTGTTTAGGGAATAATGACAAAGAAGAAAAGTTTGCACATCTTCAGTACAAATGCAATTTTTTTAATTCTTATTTTCAGTCTTTGGTTGGTTCAATCTATAGATGCAAAGCCCACAGATACAGAAGGCCTACTTAAAACCATATCTGATTCCAAGGCCCATGCTCGTTAATTTTTCTTTCCTTTTTTTCTAATTTAACTTTTATTTTTTATATATGTATCAAGTGAGAATATTAAAATAATTTGATATGACAGATTATAAAACACAGAAGCTCCCTGTCCCACTTTCTAGAAGCACCTACTTGCAACTTTCATCTGCTTCTTTGGACATTCACTTCTGTATTTGCAAAATATGTCAATTTGTAAATATGTATAATTTTGGCACATTTCTTGATTTAAAAAAATTGGATAGTAAGTATTTGCTGGAATATAAGGATTTTGTTCTCTTTTACCCATCTACCCCCAGAACACAACTCATCTTCTTTATTTTCCTAATATAGTTAAATTCTAATTTTGGCTGGCTTATTTTTCAGTGTTTATTGTGACTATGCATGCTGAGTCATACAGCGTGAAATCATTACTTGTGTTCACCTTTTTGTTTTCCATAGAGTTAATAATTGCCTTCCTGTTCTATATACTTGTAACTAATTCAATGCCAACTCTTCCAGTTGGTTATATCTCTCAATATGTTCATTTTCTGGAAGGAATTGCTTCTGGATCTTCTGATCTGCCCCACGCTGTACTGGCTGCCCTCACGCCCGTGACACCACCGCTGCCCTGAGCTGCCTGCACCCACTTCCCGGGGCAATTCCTTCTCTGACCTCGCCCTGCAGGTCTGAAACGGTTTTATTCTCTACTCTCATTTAATTGACCATTTGGCTGAGGATAAAATTCCAAGTTTTCAAACATTTTAGTTGAGAAATTTGGAGGCTTTGCTCCATTGTATTCTGGCTTGTTCTATCAAACCTGTGTTTTGTTTTTTTTTCCTCTCTCTTGAAGTTTGTAGAATCTGTTTTTTGTCCCCAGTATTCTGAAATATCTACAGCTTTGTTGTAGATCAATTTAGGTTCCTCTTTTGGGACCTAGTGGGCCTTTTTAAATCCAGAAACTCATGTCTTTTGGTTCTGGCAGAATTTTCTTGAATTATTTTGCTGATGACTTCTTTGTTTTCTCTTTTTGGACCTCCTGGACAATTGTCTAATTTTCTTACTTTTTTTCCTCTCTATTTTGTCTTTGCTCTCCTCTCTGAGAAATCTTCCCAACCTAATCCTCTATTGCAATTTATTTTATTTTAATTTCCAAGAATTACTTGAATGTTTTTTGTTCTTAGATTTAAAAAAAATCCCACATTGTCATTCATTACCTCTTTAAGGATATAACAATGGTTTGGGGGATGTTTTCTCCTTTCTATCTGCTTTTCCCAGTTTGCTTTGGTCTCTGGGTTCATATTGCCATATTTTATTGACTCTAAGACCCTTTCGTGTTAGTCCTCTCTTGATCTCAGAAGAGGGTGTCTTCGAAATTACGTTGCACAGCTGCATCACGACTGCCTTTTGGCTGACAATGATTTTACAATACCATTGATTTATAAGGTATACCTGGATTTCAGAGATATTCATTCAGACACATGCATCTTAGAATCAATGAAATCATGTAAATGCTTTCTTCAGCTATCTGGGGATCCTTGCTCTCTGCTCATAGTCCAAGAGCGCTGCACCAAAGGCTGTGTGAAGCCCTCTGCGTGGCGGGGGTGGTGCTGGTGAGTGGAGGGCTGTATTGCCAGTGGGGTTAATAGCAAGGGGACTCAGCTTGGCTGTTAGGGAACCCTCCGATTACTCTTTTCTCTTGGCCTTGTCAGATTTCCTGGAGAAGAATTTTTGAATCTTCTGACTGGAGGATGCAAGCCTGGCTGTCAGCCTTCTGAAAACCAAGAAGAGAGGAGGCTGGGGACCCAGATACTCAGTGTGTAGACTTCTGCTTGGTCCCTTGTCGTGGCCCGTTTGTAGGATGGAGGATGAACACAGAACATAAAACACAAACGCACAGAATACAAAGAAAAACACAGACACACATACAAACAGTTGACTCGAGTAATAATATACCAGGTCCGTTTTATTTTTATACTCTAAAAGATTAAAGTTAGTTCCTTGTATGTAACCACCCAGGTGTGGCAGCGATAGCCTTAAATTCCGGAATAGCCTTAGGGAAGGAGATATCCCCTGACTCAGAATCTCCAGGTGGTTGCTGTAGGCACTAGGCATAGATAAAGGACCGAGATTAGCAGGGATGGGCAAGGTGAGCCACAGGGGGCTTTTCTCATCCCCAGCTTCTCTTAGGGTGACCCCCTAAGATCTTCGGCTGAACCCCAGCAACTGTGCCTGGCTTAGGTCGCCCCTCCCTTGAAGGGGCTTACCCGTCATTGACTAACCAGCCATCTTATGGGGTGTACACAGCAATCACAGGAATAATATGTTTATCGTGTGGCCTCCAGATCCCCAGTGCTGTGGGGTGGGGTAGCTCTTGCTAGTTGCGGCTCAGGTCCTTTGTTATGCCTCTAGGCAACACCTTTGTTTATCACAGGGAGCCTGTCCAGAACAGATTACTTTTAAACGCTCTGGGCAGAATACGTACATTACTCACTAACTTTAATTCTTAAACTAGGAAAATATATGTCAGTCCCCTACAGTGGCTCTCTTCCGTATGGTACTCTTGCCCTCACTTGTGCCTGGTGTTCCCTTGCCCAGAGAGGCTTGGTTTGACCTCGCCAGTGGGAAAAACCCTCCAGGCTCTGCCTTTTGTGGAGTTAGGAAGGAAAGCTTGTGGGATTAACTGCTTCTCAGACAGACTTTCCATCAGACCTTCTATTTTCAGCCCCATCTTTTTATCCGTCTCCAAAGGAACATGGTGCTGCCAACTCCTGAAGGGCTGCAGTGTGGGTCGGCTGCGTCTCAGCTGTCTGCACTGTTGGTTCGGGTTTGCTTAAGCCAGTTACATCTCCTCCTTCGCTTTCCAGCTTCCCAAACGTACTTTTTCCATTCTCTTTGTCCTGGTGAGTCTGTGTCTTAAAATTTACTTCACTGTTTTACTTTACTGTTACTTTAGTTTGGTTTTGGGAGGATATGAAGGTAAATATCCATGTTCAATCTGCCATCTTTACCTGACAGTCCTCATTTATTTTTAAATCTCTAATTAAGAGATACAAGTTCAATTTAGAACACTTAGAAAACAATCAAAAGTACAATGGGAAAAAAATAACCCATCACTAGAGGTGAGTTAACATCTTTGCACATAACTCTAAATGTTTCTTTGTGATAAATTCTTAGTTGTGGAAATGGTGAGTAAACTAGCAGGCACCTTTTGAAGGCTTGGGACATATACTTCCCAGTGGACCCAAAGAAGAGTTATGCCCATATACAATTCCACCAGCAGTAGAGAACATCTACTTCTTCTAGTATTGCCATCAATAATGTCTAGTATTCATTTATTTAGAGAAAGTGTCTCTCTCTGTTGCCTGGGCAGGAGTGCAGTGGCATGATCATAGCTTACTGTAGCCTAGAACTTCTGGGCTCAACTGAGTTTCCTGTCTCAGCCTTCCAAGTAGCTGGAAATATAGATGCATGTCACCATGCCTGGATTATTTTTAAATCTTTTGTGGAGTGGGGGTCTGTTGCCCAGGCTGGTCTCGAACTCCTGGCCTTAAGTGATCCTCCTGCCTAGGCCTCTCAATGTGTTGGGATTACAGGTGTGAGCCACTGAGCCCAGCCTTTTAAAGCTTTTTCCAACTGTGTAGACCAAAAACAGATGTCCTCTTTCAATTTACCTTTCTTAAATCTTAGTGACTTTAAGTCCTTTTACACATACAGTTATATACAATATATATTACCTTTTTCATTTCCTTTGCTTATTTTCAATTAGTGCTTTTATCTTATTAATTTATAAGAACTCTGTATATCAAGGCTATGATTTATTTATTTATTTATTTTTTATTTTAGCGTATTATGGGGGTACAAATGTTAAGGTTACATATATTGCCCTTCCCCCCTCCCCAAGGCTATGATTTAATACTTCAAAAATATTTTTCCATTTGTCTTTCAATTTTTAAAGGTTCTTTTACATTTTGTACTGTTAAGCACTCAATTCTTCCTTTTCCATCTGTAACACTGTTATTCCGTTCTTCTCTCAAGACTATGTTTACCTACATGGCCTTCTGGTTTTTATGTGGTTTCAAAAGGTGCAAAATAAGGCTCTACTTTTTGTTTTTTTCCTTATGTTATTGGCCTATTATCTTGGCAATATTTATTTAAGATATATTTTCCAAATCAATTTGAAATGCCACCTTTATTTGGATCTGTTTTAGAGCAAAGACCATGAAACTTGCAGTACTCCATCCTCCCCCTCAGGAACAGGGGGTCACCTTTCTTTCCGGGTCTCTGCTTCTTCATCTGTAAGTGATGTCAGCCAACTGCCTCATTCTTGCTGTTTTGCAGTTTTGCAGCTGCATATACTCATATTCATCACTTTTACCAACACATCTGGGTCCTCTATGGTGCCTGTGTTTGTGTTAGGCAGTGGGAATGCAAAGACGCCGAGGCAAGGCCCCTGCAGGAGTCACTGTAGTAAGCCCAAGACGGGTTTGTTTAGGAGTGATTCTGTTGTCTGAGCGCAGGTCTTTTCTGTGCAGGATGTTGTGCAGAGCGTTAATGATGGTTGTTCCTGGGGGTGTGGTCTTAGTTGAATTTTGATCTCTTCTTTATTTCTTGCTTTATTGCTTGTATTTTCTGCAAGCATACACATTATTTTTATCATTATTATTTTTTTTTGTAACTAAGCTCAGTTTCACAGAGTTGGCTTAGCTGTAATCCTTGGTTTGTAAACACTCTCTGGGGCACCACGGTACCATTAGAAAAAGAAAACAAAAGAAATCTACAGAGGTTGGTGCAGACCCAAGGGAGGAGGATTCCAAGAGAATGTGACAAGAGGGTGTTCCTTACACAGACGCACTGGAAAGCCACAGCAGGAAGGGGTGGTGACAGGGTACAAGGCACGGCAGCCTGAAACAATGTGGCCTTTGGGGAATTGTGAGCAATTCAGCTTGTCAGAAGCTGAGGTCGTAAACGGGAGTGACATGTGTTATCTGGAGTACACAGAGACCACCCAAAATGAAGAATTTTAAGGCTGTGAGAATTTGCACGTTTAAGGATCTCATGTGCCCAATTAAGTCCCTCCTTTGGGGCATTTCCTAACAAATGGAGGATTAGATATCCTTTCTATTAAAAAGTGTAACTTTATATTAGTACCACAGAAATAAAGACTCTGTAAGCCAAAGAATCGCTAAAGGAGAGAAACTGCATAAATGAATGCAGGAAGTATTAACACAAGGAGCACTCCTACAAAGACCACCGTTCTGTCCAGCATCGCCGGTTCCTCCCTCTCGCCTGCATTCTTGCCCAGGGTGTGCCCATGGGGCCTTGGCTCTGCCTTGACCTTCGCACCTGTCTGGGTGCCGCTGCATTTCTCTGCTCTCCCTCCCAGAGAGAGGGGCCGCGTTGTCTGTTTGCTTTTCCACTTTTCCTGCTCTCCGAGTCCTGCTCCTTACGGCTCTCCACACCCCGTGCCTACCACTGAAATGGACCTCGCCGAGGCCGCCGCAGACCTCCGCCCCCCAGTCCTGTGGGCCTCGCGCGCGCTCGGCTGTTTAGCGCGTCCCGCAGCAGCGCTTGGCACGGTCGGACCACGCCTTCCTTTTGGAAACACTTCCTGGAGCTTGCGTTCCATTCCGTTCCTGTTTTCCTGCTACCTCACCAGCTGCTCCTTCTCAGCATCTCCCACCTACGTCTGACCTGTAAATGCTGGAATGTTCTGAGACTCAGCTCTGCACCATCTTCTCTTTCCCTGCTTCCTCCCCACACCCCCGTCCGCACTCAGCTTTCACCACCATTTTTATGCTGAGGACTTCCGATAGTCTGACTTCCCCTGGATTTTCCGAATCCTGAATCTGCCTGCCACTTGACATCTCCACTTAAAAGTATATCATCTCAGGCGTGTGGGGCCTAAACAGAAGCCTAGCTTCTCTGCCCGCTCATGGCTACTTCTCCCCTGGTCGTCCCTGTCTCAGTAAATGGCATTGCCACCTCCCCACTCCCTGGGACTTCAAACACAGGAATCATTCTTGATATTTTGCTTTCTTTTACTCCTTGGATTCACCCACCAAATCCTAGCAGATTTATTTTGAAAATATGTTCCAAATCTGACCATTTCTCCCCATCTGCATGGCTCAAGCTCTTCTCTGAGCCATTGTCTTCTATCTGTGGGGCTACTCTAAAAGTCTCCTAACCAGCCCCACCACTTCTCCCCTGACTCCTTCCAATCATTTCCCTGCCAAGTGGACAGTGATCATTCTGAATGTCAACCTAAAGGCTTTGCATTGCCATCACCATGAACCCAAACTCCTGAAGGCCTGCAGAGCTCATGCTTGGACCCTGCCTGCCTCACTGACACATTCTGGACACTTCTCCTCACTTTCTGCTTCTCAAACACCCCAAATTGGCACTCACCCTTAGCCCTTGAGTTTTGGTTGTCACAACTAGGCAGGAGTTGCTCCTGGTACCAAGGATGCTGCTAAACGTCCCGCAATGCACAGGGCAGGCCCCACCACAAAGAATGGTTTGGCCTTAAATGTCAATAGTGCCCAGGTTGAGCAGCCTGTAAGCTCTCCACTCAGGTACCCATTAGCTCCCAAGACTGGGAAGGAGCCAGATCCGTCTCCCAGACCTGGAAACCCCTTCTCCATTTCCTACCTGGAGAGCCCATTCCAGAGGACACACAGCTTTATGAGCCAGGCACAGCCCTAGCATATGTGGCCTACCTACCCCATCCTTGTAAGGAAGACCAGTAAGCAAGTCTTCCCAGAACAAGGACAGTCGTGAGCTTCTGTCATGCCCATACCTTGACGTGGTTGCCAACTCCTTCCTTGTATAAGGAAAAACAACCCTGAAGTGTAATCCCTAGTAAGCCACCCTGCAGGTAGAGCCGCCAGGACACCACTGATCACAGCTACATGCTAAGCACTTAACTTTGGTG